GATTCGGTTTTTTTTTTTAAATCGACAGATTATTACCTCACGCAACTTTAAAATTCGTTACAAGGCAACGCCCAAAGGCCGGTAAGGTACTTTTTTTTTTTCGATCAGCACTTTCAGCCAATCAACCTTTCAGTTCAACGATTAACGATACAATCGATACAATTCAAAAAGGGCGAGAATCGATTTGATACGGGCCAGGTAGGTACGGATACAGCGCATCCTTTCCTCTCCAGATAGTCACGGAAATTGTTGGTACTAACCGGTGTGTCATATTTAAATGAAAATTGCGCCCTCTAGTGTAATAATTTAATAATTGCTATATAATAAAAAGCCGGAACCCTGTATGTTTTAAATGCTATCCAAAATTAAAAAGGGTTATATAAAATTAAATTTGAAAGGAAAGAGGACAAGTAACTTTAAACGTTATAATGCTTCGATTTGATACACTAACGTCGTTAATTCTTCATATGTCAGAGTGCAGTCTCCAATTACTCGCTTGAGATGGTGCTTCATAGATTTCCCATATTTCTCGAAAATGTGGAGCTTGGTGGGATAAAGTGCCATTGTGTTCCTAGGTTGACGATTATGATTTGCACAGATTGTGATCGTATCAATTCTGTGGTTTCATCTCCGAATACCCGTGCTGCTCCTATGAATGTAGTTCCGTTATCGCTGTACATGTTCGCACAATATCCTCTTCTGGTAGTGAATCTTCGGAGTGCTACTAGAAATGCCTCTGTTGTCATGTCACTGACTACTTCGAGGTGGATTGCTTTGGTTGCTCTGGACCTCTCCCTTTTGTTGCTCTGACTTGAATGGGTCCAGCGTAGTCCACTCCTGAGTATGTGAATGGTGGTGCTGGAATTACTCTCGATTCCGGAACTTGTCCCAGGAGTTGCTGTGCTGTCTCTGGCTACCAATGTAGATATGTGTGAGTGGTATGGGAGAATCATTGGGTGTCGTGGGTCGTAAGGTAGAGGGTAAACTCCGACAATGCCTTTGCTGTCGAGAAAAGGTTTGAGGGTCTGTAGCTTGCTTTTTTTGTCAATTGGGTTCTGCTGCTGTAAAGACTTATATTCTTCTGGAAATTTTTGTTGTTGCACCATTTTAATGATTTTTTCGAAAGTTTCTTGTACTTCTTGGACGGATAAAGTAGGGCTTCCTCCTCTTCTGATGAATCGATTGCAGTAGGATTGTACCCTCCCAGAGCTGGGCAGTAGCTAGCTACTAAGTAGTTAAGCTACTAGCTTAGCTACTTTTTTGGTAGCTAATAACTTATTCAAGCTACTTTGAAAAAAAAGTAGCTTGTAGCTGTAGCTTTTGGTAATGTGTTTCAAGTATTCATAAGCTACTGTGAAAGGTAGCTAGCTACTAAAACAAGCTACTTAAGCTACTTTTGGTAGATAGTTAATAGTTATTAATGGCGGAAAGTGTCATTTACCGCCCGAGGGTGTGGTTAACGATACTTAACGCCCAAAATACTTATAACGTTTTATGCGCAGCGGACTCTTCTAGTTCAAAAATAAAATAACTATACCTATAATATTATGGCATCCATTCGACATTATTTTCCAAAATAAACAGTTTTCCCCTTATAAAGGCACGTTTCCACCAACCTATCGCCCGCGTTTGAATTTACCGCTCGATAAAAGTAACTTTATACTTTCATTGCTCAAGCTACAATTATCATTTTCCGGAAAATTCTTATCCTGCCTTGCTTAGACTAGTTTCTAGTTATCTCTGTAGGTACCTATGTTTTATGTGTCCTATTTTATTCTCGCATTCGCAGATCACTGTGATCAAAGTGAACCTAATAAATTAATGTCCAGTGGTTTTTGACAAAAATATGAATACCTACTACTTCTTGGAGAAAGTTAATATGTTATTTTCGTATGATGATATTATGAAATTAAATTAGGTAAGGCATGTACATTGATAAAAGTAGCTTAAATAGTAGCTTTAACTAATTCAAAATGTAGTTAAGTTACTAATAGCTTAGCTATTTTTTCAAAGAGGTAGTTGAGCTACTGAGTAACTTAGCTACTTACAATATAAAGTAGCTTGTAGCTTGTAGCTAGCTACTTTTTCCAAGTAGCTTGCCCAGCTCTGTACCCTCCTAAGCATCTTTCTGTTCCCATATATCCCTCTTTATTGTAACTTTAATTTTTTGGCATGTAGCTCTGACTTCTTCTTGAATGTCGGGAATATTGTCTGTTGTAGGGGTTTCGCCGAAGGACGTTAGCCAATGTTGACCTCCCACTACAGATCAGCTGATTCTAACTTGTCTGGGTCCAATCCTCTGGATGATGTCTGCTGGGTTTTCTTAAAACCTGATGTGGTCCCAGGATACTTGAGGAGCATTTCTGTGTTTTACGCAAACTCTATTGGCTACGAAGGTTTTTCATCTCGTAGAGTCACCCTTTATCCAAGCAAAAGTGATCATTGAGTCAGTCCAGGTGAAGGTCTGGGTGTCTACCATTTGAAGAGAACTGCTGCACGGAGTTCCAAGCGAGGTAGGGTTCTTTGCTGGAGCGACTTTTGATTTTGCTTGCTGGAGCGTAACAATTCGCTCATCTTCTTCTCTTATTCGGCTGTAGATTACTGCACCGTAGGCCTTTCCTGATGCATCGCAAAAGCCGTGTAGTTCAATTTTCGTTTTTCTCAGATGTATCCACCTCGAAATTTGAACATTTTCTACTTCTTTTAATTTGCTCTGACACTGTATCCATCTTGAAGATATTTCTTGATCTACAGGCTCATCCCAGCTCAGGTTTCTTAGCCATCAGTCTTGAATGATGAGTTTGGCTTGTATTACGATTGGAGACAACCATCCTAATTTGGATATTTCTGACAGGATTTGTCGTTTTGTTGATTCGCTTATCTCGTAGACTTTGACTTGAAATTTGAAGGTATCATCTGCTGGTGACCATAGTACGCCCAGAGATTTCTTGAAGTCTTATTGGGGTAGTTCTTGTACCATCTCTCTCGAAATTGTTCTGAGATTGATTGAAGTAACGCCCGTGAGTTACTGGACCAATTTCTCAGATTGAATCCAGCAAGACTGCATTTTCAGTAGTTCTTGTTGTAGTTCTAGGGCTGATTCTGTATCTTGTGCTCCCATTAGTATGCCGTCGACATAAATAGAAAGTCTCTCAATGCTACCTGGCTTGCCGCTGGAAATTTGTTCGATTCTTCGATTGCAAGCTTCTATAGTGTATTCAAACATTGGTTGATGTGGATGTTCCCTCCACAGTATTCTCTGGAATTGTTGATCGTCTGGATGAATCCGGATCTGCCTGTACAATTTTTCTGTCTGCGCAGAACACAATGTCGTGCTTTCTCCAACGAAGAAGCATGTCGGCGATGTTTTGTTGCAGTCTAAGGCCGACGTCATTAAGGCTTATGCTGATAGACCTTTTGCAATATGCGTCGAAAACGACCCTCAGTTGTGTTGTTGTCCTAGCTTCTCTGATGACTACTTGATGGGGAATGTGATATCTCCCTTGGGTCACTTCATGTCTAGTAACTTTCCTCATGTGACCCAACTCTAGGTATTTCTTTCATGAATGCTGAATATTGTTCTTGTACACTGGTATCTTGATGTAACTTTCTTTCGATGTTCGTGAATCTTGCGGTGGCTCTTGGTTTAGAGTGACCTAATACATCTGCTAACTGTTTGAATGGGATTCTAACTACGAATCTACCTGCGGATCTCAAGTTGTGGTTTCCTCGTGAATCTCTTCGCATGCTTGCTCTTCTTCTGTTAGCTGGTGCGCTTGGGGTATTTCTTCAATTTCCCAGAACTTGGTTAGCTGTCTGTCTTCTTCATAGTGAGTGATCATACTGACAACTTGAACAGTGGGAAATCCGGATGTTATTGGGCCAGACTCGATAAAACCTAACTCTGTATTTTGTTTCAACAGGCCTTCTGTAGTTTTTCGCATGCCGTTCTAAATGACACTGGCATATTTCTTGGCGCCTAATATAACATCTATTGCCCCTGTTGTCATGAATGTTGGATCGGCTAGCACTTAATTCTTCTAACTGTCTATACTGTTTATGTGTAGGTGTTGCTTTCGCATGTATTGAGTGCGTTTTGGAAGGACAATCATGTTGAGATATATGGAGAATGTGCTCATAAATCGCGGTTGGATCTGTGCTTCAATGGACCATTCAGAGACTTTTGGTTCGCTGTCACCAATTCATGAGATTCGCGCTCTTATGCTGTGTCGTGGCAATCTCAGTCGATTCGCAGCTTCTTCGGTAATAATGGATATCTGTGACCCTTTGTCAATAAGTATCTTTAGGACTTGATGTGCTTACTTCTTCTAGTGTTGTAGCAAGTAAAACGTTTTCTTCATTTCTAATGGCGTGGTTAGACATGGCGCCTCTTGATGGATAATGTTCAGCTCTTCTTGATGGTATGCATCGTTAAAAATTTCGCGGTGGAGTAACTATCGGCCTGTCTTGGTAGTTGGACTGCATGTTAGAATTTTGTTGCTGTTTGTCCATATGAAGAAGTGTGTGGTGCTGGCGACTGCAGATGCTACATTTCGTATGGATGGAACATCTCTTATTGATATCGTGGCTGAGAGAATTATAGCAGATGTGCTTTTCTTGAGCATATCTATTTCTTTTCTGTGCCGAAATTTTTTGAATTTCTGGCAGTGGTATGTCATGTGTTAGTCTTGGCAGAACAGACAGCTTGAGATATTGTATTTTTTCTCAGGGTTTGGCTTGCATCCTGATCCTATGGATAGTTTCTAGTGACTGGAATCTTCTTTCCAAAAATTTCATGAATTCTGTCCACTCTGGAACATCTTGAGGCTTCTCAAGACTTTGCTTATAGAGGCGATAAGTTTCGGAGAACCACTTTCTGATTGTCATTCGGATTATTTTGAGTCACAGGGGCCTGTTTTATAAAAATAAAGAGATGAAGAGTACCCAAATACTGTGACTTAAACTAAAATCTTATATAACAATCTGAACGTTTTTTGCAGTACCGAAGAACGTGTTGGTTGTTTCCTGATAGGCCTATCCAGATTGAGATCAGATCTGGAATCGCACAACAGAAGCTATTGGGACCAATTGGTCTACTCCCTGAAAGACTCCATAGCTCAAGACGTTGTCAAACTGCAAAACTACATAGACCCATCCACAGCAGCTCTAACAAAACAGCCAGTTACTCTGGAAGAAATTGGCCAAAGTGGTTTTAATTACAGTAATATTACTGCTGCACATGAAGAAGTTTGTTTTATTGGTTTGAGAAAGGACTTTTTGATGACATAAACATTTTTGTAGATGGAAATTACTTTTAAAGAAATGCTTAATAAATCACAAACTTTAGCTAGTTGGTCCAGAGAGCAAGTGGATTCAGTGAATAGGCTCAAAGGAGCTTGGGAACGTTTGGGGAGCCTTATAAGTAATCAGCAACATATTATGGCAAAACAGGTATTTACGACATTTAAATTATTTACTTGTATCATTATTATTTTTATTTAGATGGAAACTATTAGAACCTCTCTGAACATCCAACAAGAAAACTTGTTGAAAGAAATTGAAAGATTTGAAGCTAAATGGACTCAAATTAATACAATCCATAAATCTTTTGATATCAACGAAAACACTATCGAAGGTGTTAACAAGTTGTTTCAAGAAATTAAAGCCAAAAGGGCCGAATGGGGTTTGGTTTTGGAGAAGAAAGAAGCTTTATAGTAGGTTGGTGTATGTATACATGTAAATTATTAATTTTTTTAATTCTGTAGCTCGAATTATGTTAAATTTAATATGGAAAAGCCAGATATTGTGATTATAAGTGAAGTGGAAAATTCTTTGAAAGAGGACGAAACTTCTTGGGCGATTTTCGAAGAGTTCAATTTGGAATTTCAAAAATTCTGCCGTCAATATTGGATTGTGTTCAGGAAAAAGTACTACGAAATTGAGGATTTTATTAAATCTTGGGAGGAAAAATTCAGTGTCGAAAAAAGTCTCCCCAAATTTATGCCAGTCGTGTTGCAAGATCTTCAGAAATACAAGGTGGTTGATCTTGTCCTGATAATTTTGGTGAACATCAATATTTTTGAAATTTTTGTAGGATATTATCCCGACCCTCAAATACGTAAAAGGCGAAGATTTTTCTGAAAAACATTGGAACGACGTCTTCAGCATCCTCAAAATAGAACCGAAACCCATCGATCAAATATTACTCAAAGATTTTTTGGATGCCCACGAAAATATTAAAAGCAACTCGAAAGAGTTGCAAAGTTTGTGCAAGAAGGCTGCCAGTGAAATCGTTATACGTCAAGCTTTAAAAGACATTGACCAATGGGAAGTGCAGACAAAATTCTTATTGAATAGTCATTCGGATTCAAATGGAAAAATGGTCATGTTAGTTAAGGAATTTAAGGAGATATTGAATGCTGTAAGGGTGCTCATATAGTAGTTTTAGTCTTGAGCTTGCAGAAAAATCAAAACCAAAAGTATTTTTTGCAGTCTTGACTTCGAAAATAATAGAGAGCTGAGAATTAATTACTTTTAGATTGGGGATCATCAAATTTTGCTACAATCCTTGAAGCATTCCAATAACTTTGATGCTTTCGCGGAAAAAACAAACAGTTGGGAAATCAAATTGGAAAATTTGAATGGTTATCTAAACTCATTGGCACATATCCAAAAAAAGTAATAAACTTCTCTATTAATACACAATAATACATTTCGTTAAATTCTAGATGGCTTTATCTGCAACCAATTTTTGGCAGTGGCACGTTAGCGCAAGAAAAATCTAGATTCGACCGTTTAGATCGAGATTTCCGCAAAATAATGTCTTTCATAGAAAAAGACACCAGGGTAACTGAGATTTGCAAATATCCCAACTTAAAAGACACACTGAAATCGATTTTGGACCAATTATCCAGATGTCAGCACAGTTTGGATGCGTTTTTAAAAGAAAAACGAGACATCTTTTCTAGATTTTTGTTTTTGAGTGACGACGACTTGTTGGAAATAATTGGACAATCTTCCAAAGAACAAGTTATACAATCGCATCTTAAGAAACTGTTTGCTGGGATTCACTCAGTACAACTTGATTCTGCAGGAGACAACATTATCGCTATGCGTTCTTTGCATGGGGAAACTGTCAGATTAGGAAGTCCTATTGAAATTAAACGACCAGTAGAAGTATGAATTTTTATATTTAAATAAATTGAGATTGTCTTGCAACGTGAAAGCATCCAAGTTCTCCATCTATTTCACAAATTAGACCTTAAGTTTAATGTCTAAACAATTCTACTGAGCTATTAAATTTGGTGCTTGCATTGCTTTTAAGCTTTACATCAGTTTTATATGGTATAAGTACTAGTTTTTTTTTTTTGAAGGTATGGTTGGGTCAGTTGGTTAAAGAAATGCAATCAGCCTTGAAGGATTTGTTAGTGAGTTGCCAGAGAGAGACCCAAGCTCCGGATCCTTTGAAATATCCTTCACAAATATTGTGTTTGTCCGATAACATATCATTTACGTTGAAATGTGAACAGGCTATCAGTGGTATGAGTTTGCCAGGCTTATTAGCAAAATACAAGGTGAGAACTATACTTACAAGATGGGGTAACCCAACAAACATTCAGGCCTCTGAGTATGATGTAGGTACCCTGTTCTGTTATTTTTACGGTTGTGTTAAATCTCAACATCTATTTGCGTCTCTATTTTGACGTATAGAATAAACAGTGACAAAAAACTTACCGCTGCTGTTAAAATAACAAAACAGGATACATCATAGGCCTGATTATCTTACTTCTCATATGAATCGACCTTCAAAACTTCCACCTCTCCACCATCAAATATGATCAATTTCCAGTTCAGAGACTTAGCAATTGTTCAAAATATCTACAACAGCTATATTATTTGTTATAGGCTCAACTAAACGAACTTAGCTCACTTGAACTAAACAATACCCCAGACTCTACCAAATCAGACGAAAGCAACGTTTTGGAGTTGAAACTAAAATCTCTATTATTAGATACCATTCACCACATTAGAATCTTGGAGGAACTTTTACAGAAAAACGTAACTAAAGTCACTGAATGGGAGTGGCAAAAACAGTTACGGTAAGTTAAAAAGTGTATACCATTTCAGAATTATACCTATATGTAATATTTATAGATATTATACCAACTCTGTTGGAGATGTAACAGTCAAAATGGCAAAAGCCAGAATAAATTATTCTTACGAGTATTTGGGCAATGAGCAAAAGTTGGTGAGAACTCCTTTAACGGAACGATGTTTTTTGACTCTGACACAAGTAAGCAACACCTGGGTTTCATAAAATTTGGTATTTAAAAATGATTTTTTAGGCAATGCACTTAGGTTTGGGTGGGAACCCTTATGGACCAGCAGGCACTGGGAAAACCGAATCTGTTAAGGCTTTGGGCACAATTTTGGGGCGACAAGTTTTGGTTTTTAATTGTGACGAGGTAAGTTGCATCCATGTGAAGCTATTTCTTCCGCAAACTTTCTGGACCTATTAAAATTTATTGGAATTGGGGCAAAAATACTTAGGGATAACTCAAGCAGCTGGTACCTACTTTTAGATGAACCCAATTTTTTAAATCTGTTTTTTGATGGTTAGAGATATTTTATTAAATTTCTCTCGAACGGTGATTCTAATTTAAGTATTCTAGTCTTTACTTTTTCTCTTCTATCCATGCATAACAATTTATGTCCTTATTGTTTTTGATGTTATACTAAAAATAAACTTTCGATTTTTCAGGGTATTGATTCGAATTCAATGGAAAGAATCCTAACGGGTTTGGTAAAAACTGGAGCTTGGGGTTGCTTCGATGAATTCAATCGTCTGGACGAAACAACATTGTCAGCTATATCGATGCAAATCCATGCCATCCAAGAAGCTTTGAGAAATAATTTGACTGTCGTTAAATTGGCTGATCAGGAGGTAAACTAGAAATAAGTGAAGTATCATTTTAATCCACAAACTGAAATAATTCGCAGCCGCCTAGAACATATTATGGTGTTGACGAGCGGTGATTCATTTTTGTTTCTGGGTGGTGACATAAAATTAAGTGGGTCCTATTTGCGGCCGCAGCTGTGAGAGTGAAGCAACTGTGTGTATGTAGATTTTGTTGTGGAAACAGCCAAACAATCGTATTTATTTTTTATGATCACAGTGGCAACGTTGCAAAAAAGCCCCCCGCCGTGAAAGCTCGATGGCCGCTGGCGCCGTACCAGGCTGTACTGGATCGATCCAGTCGGGTTGTTGTCGCTAAGGGAAAAAATGAATTCCTTATCTTTTTCACTTCGCAGTGTGATTTTAGTGTGTGATTTTAGTAGTGTGGTTTCACTAGCAGTAAAGAGTGCGTAAAAACGTCTAGCTCTATACAAGTTTGAACCTGCTCACTTTTCTCTAATTATTTAATTATTCTCTCTAGTTGCACCCTTGTGCAGTCTCTCTCTCGCTCTCTAAATAAAAAGACTTATTTCTTTATCTCTCTGGCTGCTAGCTTGAAAACTCAAGTGATATAATATCGCGTAAAACATTGAGTTAATCACACTCCCCTTTTTTAAGGGCTCTCTAAAAATATAAAAACTCTCAACTCCCGAAGATTTCTATTAAGAATAAACTTTATATCGTGCTCTCAACTAAAATATTAGCGTTCCGCTAATACTGACAATTATTGTTAAATTGACTATTGAGCACTTACAACTAGTGAATTTATACCGATTAGTGAAGGTTCTCGAATAACTCAAATGCGACTTGTTAACTAACCTGTGAATAATTAAAAGTACTTGAATGTGGTTATAGTATTTATTACTTTATTAAACGATTATTTTGGCAACAATAGAGAGATATAAAACTGGAAGTGTGAGTGCATTATTTAGCAGTGACATTCCCATCCCCTTTATGATCCAGTGATCTATCCCTAAATTAAATATTGACACCTCAGTTAGAGGCCCTAACAGATTTCTAAATGCAGTTTTTGGTAAAATAAATGGCATTAGTCGGCATTACAACACTTTTTGAAATTTAGTCAATCTAAAATTAGAAGAAGTGCCAAAATATTATTCCATGTAATAATTGAAAGTTACTCTCCTTATAATAAATGTAACTCTACATTCTCTTATTATTGAAAGATCCATCTAAGTTTCCTATCTAATCTTCAAAGACAAAAAAGTCTTATTTTGCTCCCTTTGTTCGTTCGTTATTTTCAAAGTCTATGTCTCGGTTTTTCACTATTTATTCAGAAATTGTCTAACGAGTACTTATACAGGTAAAGTACCTAATAGTCCAGGAGGTGGCGCCAAAAACATGCAAGAGTTTTCGCAAGGCGGATATTTTCAAAATAGGTCGTACTTTAGTGCTAGAATGCTAGTGTACAGTCAGCACTCACAGTTCCGGGACAGCTGGCTCTGGGACGCGGACAAAGTTGTAATTTTAAGAAGCATCTAAACTGTTTTCTCAAAGCTCAAAATTTATAGAAATTTTGCACATTATCTGTTTGAAGGTCACAGATAACGTATGTAAATCGTCAGACGTCTAGTTCGTTGCAAAAAGGGGGTCAGACGTCCTTAAAGTTTTTATTTTATGGCATTTTCTTCAAATATATTTGTCAAATACCTGCAAAAATATATTTTGACAGGACACCGAAGAAAATGCCATAAAATAAAAACTTTGAGGACGTCTGACCCCCTTTTTGCAACGAACTAGACGTCTGACGATTTACATACGTTATCTGTGACCTTCAAACAGATAATGTGCAAGATTTCTATAAATTTTGAGCTTTCAGAAAACAGTTTAGATGCTTCTTAAAATTACAACTTTGCCCGCGTCCCAGAGCCAGCTGTCCCGGAACTGTGAGTGCTGACTGTACACTAGCATTCTAGCACTAAAGTACGACCTATTTTGAAAATATCCGTCTTGCGAAAACTCTTGCATGTTTTTGACGCCAGCTCCCCAACTATAATTGTTCTCAGAGCTTTTCTGTATGCTTATACTGCATGCTTATACTGCCTACTCTTAGTACTTTGAATGATTTGTTTATATGTACTTCCAGAGAGTACTTGGTGTCTGAACCTTAACCGACTTTTCACTACTTGTACTGGTTTTCCCATTTTGGTTGTTTCAACTTTTTTTATAGCGTTCTCAATTTCCATTCGAGAGGAGCACCTATGCTTCTCGCATGTCCAAAGTTTGGAAGCTGGTCGGTTCTTTGTTGCTTGTATAATCCTGGTTAAGTAGTTGTTCAAAATATTCATGTATGCAGCATTTGATCTTATTGAAAAAGGACACTAGTGGAAAGTTTACAAGGAATGCGAGTCTCTGTTTGTACAATAGCCAACAAATTCATAAAATAATTTATTTATTTTTTACCCTAAAGCGTTTGTCAAGACATCCGCTGGAATCTCACTCGATTCCAGGTATTTAGCCTCTATCTTACCACTTTCAATGGTTTCTCTAATGAAATGATGACGCACATCTATATGCTTGGAACGTCTATGAAAAACAGGATTGGACGAAAGCTTTAGTGTACTTTGGTTATCAGTACATAAAATAACATTATGAAAAGAACCTAAGAACCAACTAATTCATGCCACAAATTTCTGAGGTAAATCGCCTCTTTCGCTGCCCTTGATAAGGCTATATACTCGGCTCTGTGCTGGATAGAGCCACTGTTTTCTGTTTGGGGCACTCCCAAGGAATCAAAGAAACAAAAGCTAGTATAAGACGTTCTGTCTACAATTTTGCTGCCCCAATCAGCATCCACGTATCCCACTAAACGACTACAACTCAAATTTTGAAAAAAAAAACGTCTTTTTAAGGTACCTACTACTTTAAAAGTCTCTTTGCTTGCAGCCAATGTACATTATCAGAACAGTTATTAAATTGACTCAAATAACTCACACTAAAAGAGATATCAGGTCTAGTCATCACAGTCAAATACATCAGTCTGCCAATCAACTGCTGATGTGGCACTGGAAAAAAACTTTCATTATCTTTACTCAAATATATATTTTTTCTCAATAGGTGTCTTCACAGTTTTTCAGTCTGCGATATTGAACTTCGTTAACAATAACTCAATATACTGACTGACTCTGATCTTAAGTAATAACTTTTTTAACTTTATCGATAGAGATATTCATTCCCAAAATTTTCATAGCTTCGCCTAGGTTTTTTCAAATTTTCCGTTTCTACCTTATCATTAGAAAAAATGAAAAATAATCAACGTATAAAGCAGTCACTGTTATTAAGTAGTTTCTGTTTTACATAAAAACACAAGGTTCAAACTTGGAATTTGCATACTTATAGTAAGTCAATAACTTGGACCTTTTCATACCAAACCCTGGATGATTGTTTGAGACCATAAATTGCTCGGTTAAGCTTTAAAACTTGTTTTCACAACCCTGATGTATAAAACCCTCTGGTTGCTTCATGTAAATATTCTCCTCTAATTCCCCATGCAAAAAAAAACTGTGCGGTGACATCTAAATGAGAAATATCCTAGTGTGTGCTATATTAACACTTAATACTATAAAAAAACGAAGTGTGGAATGTCTCGCAACAGGGAGAATGTTTCATGAAAATTCCCACCCTCTTTCTGAGTGCAGTACCCTTAGCTAATAGCTTAGCATGATAGGTCTCTTGTTACTATCCTTATCTATCTTAATCTTATACACCTACTTACATTGAACTACTGCACTTTTCACTGGCGCATCTACCATTTCCCAAGTAACATCATAAGCGCAACTAGGCTCCAAATTTGAGGAGTGACCTTTTTTTTTTATTTTTTTTTTTTTGATGAGGTTTGATGGAAAAGAAATGAGACGCGTAAAAAAAAGTTAGCTTCACGAGGGTTTGTACTACGTCATCATTTGCTTTTTTTTGGAAAAAAGGCTTTTTTTATGTCTGAAATTTCAAACAAACATATAGTTCGTTGCACGTCACGAAAGTTTTTATTTACGTCATCGATGACGTCATAACTTAGAGAAAAAGTTAAATCATAGAATAATTCATAAAGCACCTTGCACCTTCGTAATTATTGTTTTGTGATACATTTTTTAACTTAGAATAGAGTTTATTCAGTTATCCAAAAATATACAAATAAATTTCTCCTGAAGAGATTTTTCACTACTGGAAAATTTTGAAATTTTCCTCTAATGAGTTCCTAACTTTCCCCTTTCCCCTGTAAAAATTTCAAAATTTTCCCGTTGCCAGTTTTCCAGAAAAAAATTAAAATGTAAGAGGGTGAATTTTCCTTAATTTTGCCTAAATAAGTCAATTTTCTTTGAATTTTTTCTGGAATGATTTTTCACTGAAAAATTTCGAAATTTCCCTATAATGGGCTCCTCATTTTTCTCTTTTTCCCGGAAAATTTTGAACATTTTCCAGGAAAAAGAGAAAAATGAGGAAGAAAATGTTCAAAATTTTCCCTTTGCCAATTTTCCAAAAAAAAATTTAAATGTGAAAGGTGAATTTTCCTTAATTTTGCTTAAATAACTCAATTTACCAGAATTTTTTCTGGAGTCATTTTTCACTAGAAAATTTTAAAATTTTCTCATATTGAGTCCTCTCTTACCGCTTTCTTCTAGAAAAATTCCACAATTTTTGCTTTGTCAGTTTTCTAGAAAAAAAATTAAATGTGAAAAGATGAATTTTGCTTAAAAAAGTCAATTTTACAGAACTTTTCTCTCGACTTTCCTTGGAGTAATTTTTCACTAGAAAATTTTAAAATTTTCCTATAATGAGCTCCTAACTTTCCTCTTTTTCCTCTTCTGCCAGTGTTCCAGAAAAAAATGTAAATGTAAGAAGTGAATTTTCTTTAATTTTGCTTAAATAAGTCAATTTTCCAGAATTTTTTATGGAGTGAATTTTCATTGAAAAATTTTAAAATTTTGCTATAATGAGCTCTTTACTTTCCTCTTTTTTCTCGAAAAATTTCA